AGAGCTTTTCACTTGTTTGACTGCCGCACTCTCATTTTTCGCTACCCAGTGTCCAAATGTTTCAGTTTCGCTGTTCCAGAAACTTTTAAACTACTTTCAATTCAAATAAAAGCTTTCATACAAAAGCTTTTAGAGTGCACCTCCTAATGATTCCTGTAGCAAATCAATAATAATGGTTTCTTTACAAAAGGTTTTAAAACGAATTTGTGATCACATAAATGCTTTTTATTTAGTTAGTTGTATTCTTCTTAAAGCTCCCTTCATTGAAGGGACGTGAAAGCATTTGGATTGACTTGCTTTCTTAATTACATTCGCTAAAAACTAGTTAATCACAGGCTTTTTAAAGCCTTAAACATTTAATTTTAAAGCATAGTTCAATTTAATTTAGTATCGGAGCTTTAGACTAAAAGGGTAAAGCTTCCATCTAGCTTTATGTAAAAGCTTTCAAACCTTATTGACTTACAAAGCTTTAAGCCTCAATAATGACTTCTAAAACCTCCATCTTCTATCATTTAAAATTGGGAAAGCTCGTGAAAGCTTTTAGCTTAAAACTAGCTGAACTACGCTCGAGTTCTCATAAGCTTTTGTTTTCTTCTCATAGCTTCCAATTACTGTGTCCTAAAGCTTCATTGGCACTTTAAGCTAATGTCATTGCAGCTCAAGCTTCAATATTTGACGTCGATTTTAAAAGCTAAACAATTTCCATCAGTCACATTATTTATGTCCATTTGGCTGGTACTGTGCACATTTTCTATGCAAATGCGGCCGACAAATGCCCAAAAGGCACGCCCACAACCGCAGCAGGAAAACGGATGCCAAAAAAAAAAAAAACTAATTCTTTTTTTATGCAAATAGAAGAGAGAAACCCACAGGAGGCAAAGAAAAAAAAGTGCATTGGAATATGGCTGCAGGATACTTTTAGCCACAGACACGGACACCCACGCAGTTGGAGGAGGTAGGGAGGAAGCGGGGAACGGTTGCTGGGGCACCTCATCGGCCGAGCTGGGCAATGAGTTTTTGAGCTAAAAGTTGAATTGTGCAACAAACAGACTCTCGCTCGCTTCGTCTCTCTCTCTCCCTGCCTCCCTTTCCCACTCGCTGTGTGTGTTCGTTTTCGACTGTCTGTGTGGTATGCACTTGTCTAGACGTTGGCTAGACAGTGTAAAACCAAACCAAAAAAAAAAGAGCACAAAAAAAAGAAAAATAACAGAAATACAAGCCAACAACAATTACAGCAAAAATGCCAGCGACAAAACGAAACGAAACGAATTGCAGCACATTTGCCATATAGCGAGTGTGCACCGTACCCGTGCCCGACCCCGAACCGTACACGTATCCACTGTGGACCTGGACAGCGACAAATTTCTGGACAAATTTCGCACATAAAGCCAGTGCTACACACTTTTAAAAACAAGCTGAATTCAAGAGAGAACGGCTAAATAAATACCCTTCTCGAGATATGGATAATACGCTTGATATGTGAAGCTCCTAATTCCTGAGTTTAAGGAGCAGACATTTTTTTACGACCGATTCTAGGATTTGGATAATATATAAAAAAGGTTAGGGAAAATACAAAGTGTCGGGTTAGGTGAAGTTATTTTTGAAGAACAGAACAATTAGCCAGAGAAGAATTGAACGATCCGAACTATAGATCTATAGGATAGAACAATTCAATGTGGATAATATATAAGAGGATTAGGAACACTAAAAATTGTGGGTTTATTGAAGATATGTTAAAAAACATAAAAATGTTTCAAAACTAAACAAAATTTGTCGATCCGTTCTGCCTATAGAGATATGGTTTACTTATCATGATCAAGTTATCTTAATAATCATTCCCATGGCAGCTATATAATATAGTAGTCGGATCCGGCTGAGTCCGACTTTGTACTGCCTGCAACAGAAAGACGCATCTATACTAAGTTTTATAGCAATAGCTGGGAGACTACTTTGCATGAATCAGATTAGGTAGTTTATCTAGAAAATGTATATATCTTATAGGCTCGGTGATATCTTGTGCTATGCTATTCAGCTGATCGATTATATATATATATATATATATATATATATATATAGCTAGACTATGCTGTTTATCTGGATTATACATACATCATAAACTCGGAGCTATCTTAATCTATGCTTAACACATTTTTCTTGACTAAATTATATCTTGCTCGCTTTTCGGGCTTGTCTGACTTTGTATTTGGCATGCCAAAAACTAGCTAAGCCGTTGCAATATTTAGCTAGAAAGTAGCTGAATGCGCAACACTACACAAAAGTCCAAGTCGGTGCACACGTGTGCTTAAAACTCAGTTTACTAACATGAAGAACAACAGTTTTTTCTATTCTTTCGCATTTACAACTTAACTAGAGACTACTGTAGGGCGTGTGTCGTGTGCTTTACGCGGCGCCAAACTTCTTGCGCTGATAGGGCGGCGGCAGCGGTGCCAGCAGATTCTTGGTCTGCACGCCGATGGTGACCAGCTCCTTGGCGCCGAGGCGGCACACCTGCAACAGATGCTGAAAGAGTAGAAAGGGTTAGATTAGAAGAGAGCTCGGTTAGTTTTGTGCATGGGTTAATTTACCTGACGATTGAATCGCACCTTGAGGCGATAGCTCTTCAGTTTGGCTGTCTCGTGCGCATCGCTGGCCGACTTGCTCAGCCGCTTGGCCTTTGTCTGGGGCGCGTGCAGCGTGTGCTCCTCCGGCTGATAACACTCCAGCACATACAGATGCACCTCATCATAGACCATAACTATGTTGGGGTTTTGTGCATCCAGCATTAGGCCGCGAATGCTGTGCAACTGCGCATTGGGCACAAAATGCTCGGCGGTCTCGCAGACAAAACGACGCTCCTGTAGATCATAGTCCACAATACGTCCATCCGCATAGGCAACCACCAGACGCGAGCTGTTCTCGTGCATGGCCAGCGCCGTGGTGCCAGCTTTATAGCGCGGCAAATTGAGCAAATGTTTGGCCTTCTTGCCGCGCAACTGCCAAACGGCAATCAAATGATTTGTGGCAGCCACCACCAGATATTTGCCACACGGCGACATTTCCACCAGGCTAATTGGCGTCTTAATCTCGGGGCTCAAATCCTGACTGTATAGGAAATTCACCTGCTGCTCCTCCAGACTAAAACAACGCAATTGTCGACTGGCAGCGTGTATCAGCCACAGTTGCTGCGGCTGACCCTTGAAGAAGCCAATAAAACTGGCTGGCTCCAGTTCGGCGGGCAAATCCGTTGTCAGGCGTTGCAGGCCCAGCGGCTCGTGCTGCACTCGACTCAGACGCAGCTCCTGGGCCGTGGAATAGCATATCCAGTTCCCGTCCGGCGAAATGGCCGCAGCCTGTATAAACTTGTTGGGCGCAACATTTAGCTGCAGCAGCTTCTCGGGCGTATGCTCCAGCTGCAGCTGCTCCGTACTGCCCAGGCCGAGTTGTTGACGCTCGCCGGGTCGCGGCACGCCCAGGCGCCACAGATCCAAGCTCTGTGGATAGCGCAGCAGCAGTAAATTGCCGCTGGGCGCTAAGCTGGCGGCTTTGCCCTGCAGATAGGGCGCATATTTGGCGACATAGGCACTCGTCTTGGTGCTTGACGAGATGCACAACAAGCCATCCTGGCCGCCAGACACAATGCGATTGCCTATGACTAGCAGCGCCTTGACATAATGGCTGTGCACTTCGCGCTGCAGGAACTTAATCCAGCGCTCGCAAACGGAATCCTCGCGCTTGATTTGCGTTTTGCTCAGGACACGTATCAGGGGTGGCTTCATGCCGCTGCACACCAGACGATCCTCCTCCTCGTTGAGCGCCAAGGCGAACACATTGCGATCGAGCACCTTGCACGACTCCAGCTGCGTCGCATTCGCGCCATTCCATACGGTCACATAGCCAGCAGAATCGCCGGCAATAATCGTGTTGTCGCTGAGCACCTGCAGCGAATAGACAATCACGTTCCGGTCGGACAGTGTCATCGTGTGCAGTGTATGCCCCTTGGCCACGCTCCAGATGCGCACAGCACCCATTGTGCCGGTGACCAGACGCTTGCCCGGCTTGTCGAACCTACAGCAGAGCACGCGTCCATCCTGCTTGCTGAACAACAGTTTGTAGTTGATCTCGTCCTGCTCAATGCTCATGATGTTGATGTGTCCCTCCTCGGAACCGACAGCCAGCTCCGTTTCAGCGCTGTTCACGTCCAGGCACCACAGTGCATTGCCGGTGGGCGACTGTTCGCGACGTGGTTGCAGCGTCGTCAAGTCCCATTCGATCAGTTTGCCCGTCAGATCCACCGAGAAGAGGCGCTTGCTCGCCCAGGCCAAACTCTCCACCTGCGACTCGGGGGTTAGCTGAATGACGCGTTCCAGAAATGGCGCGTAGTGCATGTTCCACAGCTCAATGGAACCATCCTCGCTGAGAATAAAGCGCAAATAATTCCAATTATTATTTCATAAGTAAATTAAATTTTCACTCACCGGCTGAGCGCGAGACATTTGAGCACTTTGCTGTACGCCATACAGACTATGCCGCGCGGCTTGATTGTATAGAAGCGTACATTGTGTACTTGGGCGGTGCCCCCGGATTTATCGGGCACGTCTGCTTTCATTGTAAAACTCGTTGATATTTTAGTTTTACTTTAAAAAATACACATTCGCACGTGCGTCGAGCGCGTTGTGGTGCTAGCTGCTATTGGCGTTGCCGGACCGCGTCAATCGCGATGTAAACAATGCCATTCACAGCGCGTGCAAACGATAGTAATTGCTATCGATATGCACAGTGGGTCACAATGCAATTAAAATAGACGACATGTGATTAAATAATTGTGGAAGGAAGTGATTTATATATTTGTGTGTGTTTCAAACGCAATTAAGACAGTATGCTATTCTTAAATGAATCAAGCGCTTGCAAAGCTGTCAGTTATTGTTAAGCTAGTGCCGGACCATTCACAATATCAATTGCAATCGATATGTGCAGCAATTCACAATTAAACTAGCTCACAATTGAACTAAACAATAGAATATGGGGGTGGTTTTTTGCGGTTTTTAGAAAAAATTACCAATTGCTAATTTAATTATATTGATGACAATGTGCCAAGTGTAAATAAGCTAACGAAATTATGCAATAACACTAATTGCAATTACCACACACCAGTAACAAGAGCAGCAGCAACAACAACAACAACAATAACATGTCCGCATCATTCTGGAGCTTGTGTCTGGCATTGTTGTTCCTGCTGGTGCTCGGCACACCGGCCATATCATCGCGTGTCCTGGAGCTGAGCGATCGCTTTATCGACGTACGCCATGAGGGCCAATGGCTGGTCATGTTTTATGCACCGTGGTGCGGCTATTGCAAGAAAACGGAGCCGATCTTTGCGCTCATCGCGCAGGCTTTGCACGCGACCAATGTGCGTGTGGGTCGGCTGGATTGCACCAAATATCCGGCAGCAGCCAGGGAATTCAAGGTGCGCGGCTATCCAACCATAATGTTCATCAAGGGCAACATGGAGTTCGTATATAATGGGGATCGCAGCAAGGACGAGCTGGTCGACTATGCGCTGCGCATGTCCGGGCCGCCAGTGCAGCTGGTCACGCGCACGGACAGCGTGGACATGCTGAAGGGCTCGCACACGATCTTCTTTATGTTTGTGGGGCCGCAGCAGGGCATTGTCTGGGACACGTACTATGCCGCCGCCGAGGGCTATCAGGAGCACGGCTTCTTCTATGCGACCAGCGAGGATATTGCCGCACAGCATTTCGATTTTGAGCAATTGCCCGCGGTGATTGTGTACAAGGAGGAACAGCATCATTTCTATCCACACGGTCATGTGGCGCACGAAATGGATCCGAACGATGTCAATGAAACCATTTTCCAGTGGGTCAATGTGGAGCGCTTTACGCTCTTCCCGAAGGTGACGCGTTTCAATATCCATCAGCTGCTCAAGACCAAAAAGTTCCTGGTGCTTGCCGTCGTCCAGGAGGACAAACTCAGTCAGATAGCCACACATGAGCTGGAGTTTCGTGACATGGTCGAGGGCGTCATACGCAAGCATCGTCCGCGCTATCATGATAAATTCCAGTTCGGCTGGGTGAGCACATGTCTAACACAATCCGTTCCACAGTTCGTTTTCAACTGCTTTGAATCTTCACCCAGATTGGCGAACCGTCGATAGCACATTCCATTATATTGGACCAATTGCCCACGCCCCATTTGATAGCGTTGAACTCGACGACGCAGCATCATTATCTGCCCGAGGACGATCCGCTGCAGATGACGCCGCAGGCTCTGCACCTATTCCTCGAGTCCATCGGCAATGAGAGCGCCACAGCCTACGGCGGCGACACCTATTTCGTGCGCGTTAATCGGGCGCTCTTCGAGCTGAAGCGCTCCCTGCGCGAGATGTGGCGCGGCAATCCCGTGCTAATGACCGTCATCTTTGGCCTGCCGCTGGGCTTTCTATCGCTGATCATGTACTCGATTTTCTGTGGCGACTGTCTGGTCACCGAGGAGGAGCAGGACGAGGATCACGAGAAGAAGGAGTAGAACTGGCTGCTGCAAAAAATTCATTTCAATCTCGTGCTCTCATTTCTCACCATGCACTTTACGTAATGTACTTTTGCATAAAGCCAAAATCTAGTCTTAGTTTAAACGACATAAACTACATTTTGCTTTTAGAGATTCCGTTTCGTGATTTCGTGTGCGATGCGTATTCTTTAACTGTGTGTGTTTATTTGTTGTGTATCTATTCATGTCGCCTTGTTTGAGTTTAAACGAATTGATGAAAATTTTGTATTCCGTATTCACAGGGTCGTTCCCTCAACTTCGCGACTTGGCCAAGAGATATCGAGTTTTTGTGGTAGCTTTTTACACTTGCTGAAAGTTTTATAACTTTGTCAAGAAGTACTTTATTTTAGATAAGTCACGTCTGTCTGTTTTTATGTGAACTACTCCCTCATGGTTATCTTTTTAAAACACTTCAAAGATTCGTCTTTTTATCAGCTGTCGCTGGTATTAAAAGTAGAAAATTGAGTTTGTATATGAGAAACCTAATTGATTTTCGAACTACGAGCTTCACATTGCCAACATATGGCCGAGCGAAGTTTGATCAATATCGTTAGACTATGGCACAATTGGCATAAGTAAACATAAAGCCCTTTAGTTTTTCCAAGACAAGAAGTAACTAATTTAGAATCGAACTTCTATATCATATAGTTCTATTAGAAACTCACGACTGGGAAACATGAACAACTTTTTGATTTCCAAGACTTCTTAGCCAAAATCAACTCTTCAGCTCAACTCTTTCATACATCTCTCTGATAGAAACCTTTAGCAATATATTTCCATATATGGCAAGCTCTCAAAATTTGTCTGCAAGCATACATATAAGAGCTGCGACATCCTGAGACATTTCGACATTTTGTTTAGTTTAATAAAGATTAGTTGATAATTTCGTAGAATCTGTAAAGCACGTTTGTTTCGATTTCTATTCGGTTGTGTACAAGGAAAACTTAAGTTAGGTTTTGGTTGATTTTAGATACCAGCCAAAATCAGCAGCCATAGTCCTCATCGTCATCGCTGTCTATGGCCGCACGGCGACGATCGTACTTGACGGTGGATTTACTCTGTGGCATTTGTGCATTGACGCTCTCCAGGATGCTCACGAATTGGGCGTCATCCAGTTTGCCGCGCACCTGGCCCATTTGGGCCATGCGTATGACCATGTTCTCGAACATTTGCGCCTTTTCCGGCTTGCTCACTTTCAGTGTGTTGACTGCAACAGAGGTTGACATTAGCGTGGCTTGACTGTACAGTGGCTGCGGCCAGTTTACTTACGGCGTGCACGTGCCTGTTGGTCGAGCACTTGGGAGAGAATTGAGTGCTTCATTTCCTCCTGGGCGCGCATCTGTTCCTGTTGGGCCTGTTGTTTTTCGGCATCGCTGCCACCGCCGCCGCCCTGCATGAACAATTACAGGGTATATCGATTAGGGCATACCCTTTCCCGCACAGGTGTGCCGTGAGTATGCCGCCACAATAACAACAATAATGAGTCATACATTGCTATAAACAAACAGACACTGCTTGCATAGCATTGCGCATTATGGTTTTACGCTTTGTGCAGCATCACAACTTTATAATTTATTTTTGATTATATTTAAATTTTTTTTTGTGGCTATTTTTGGCATTTGGCAGCGAGCGGCTTTTGCTAAGCAAATTGTTTTCTACTTACAAATTGTGCCATGCGCTTTGCGCGCAATTCATCCAAATCTCCATCCGACATGTTTTTCAATTTAATGTATTAAAATTTATATATATATAAAATGTTATTTATTATAAAAAATAAATAACCACAAACTTCGCTGTTCTCCGGTAGGCAGTGTATCGATACAATTATCTCACTCTGACAAGCCAAACTAATCTATCGATAGTAGCTCCGCGTCAAGTATCGATATATTGCATTGAACACGGTGAATGGTGTACTAAGAACAAGAAGAAGAAGCAGATACAGATATAAACAAACAGCTGTGCAGACCAACAATTGAATTGGTGCAAAAGAAATTAAGTAAGTTGTGCATAAGTTTCATTATAAATTGTTAAAATATTGCTGCGAAATGACTTCGCCATTGGAAAATTTGGAAACGCAACTGGAAATGTTTATCGAGAACGTGCGGCAAATACGCATAATTGTGAGCGATTTTCAGCCGCAGGGTCAAAACGTACTGAATCAGAAAATGTAAGGAAATTTCGCGATTTGCCTAGATGTTGCTTTTAATACACATTTGAATTTGAATTTGAATTTGGTTAAATACAGCAACAGCTTGGTCACCGGCCTGCAGGAAATTGACAAATTGCGGCCACAGGTGCAGGATGTATATGTGCCCTTTGAGGTCTTCTTTGACTACATTGACCAGGACAAAAATCCACAGCTGTATACAAAGGACTGTGTGGAAAAGGCGCTGGCCAAGAATGAGGAGGTTAAGGGCAAAATCGAAAGCTTGAAAAAGTTCAAAGCGAATCTGCTGCTGGAATTGTACAAGACATTTCCCACCGAGATGAACAACTATCGAGCCTACAGAAAAGACTCCATCTAAGAACTGCAAATTTTAGTTTTGTAAGCCTTAAAGTACGATACACATAAAAAATAAAAACTAAAAAATAATAAAATATAATTGCTACACATGTATGTACTTAGACGTATGCGTTTTGTGTCCTTGTCTTTTTAGAATCAATATTTACTTAAGTCCTAGCTGACAAATTATTATGCTTTTGTTTAGTTTAGAAATTGAGTTCGACTTAAAACGAAAGGGGTTGCGGAAAGGACCGGAACTGTGTTCTAAATTCAAAACGAGCATTTAGCAAATTTTTTTCCGAAGGCTCCAGTGGCGCAATTGGTTAGCGCACGGTACTTATAATCAGTAACTGTGTATGAGCAATGCCGGGGTTGTGAGTTCGAGCCTCACCTGGAGCAGCAAGCACAATTTGAGTGTTGCGTATTTTTTTTGATATTTATAAATATTTACATATATATGTGAATGCATAAAACCCCGTTGACAATTGCTTTTTTGTTTGCGCTTGCATTGAATACCAAAGTTTATTTTGATTGTTAAATTGAATGCGGTGCTAGAACTGTTAACTGTTAAGCCGCAGCGTTGCCAGATCGTCGCGCACAGCAGGCCAGCTGTTTATTGTTTTTGAGCGCTTGTGTAATTGATAAGAGCTTTGCATTTTAATATTTATCGCAAAATGCGGCGCACGTTTGCCATTTGCCGAACTGGTTTTAGTGGTTTAAGTTATGCAAAAACGTTCAAAACGCATGCTGTAACTTATAGTCTGCCGACAGCGCGTCATGCGTCATCGGCCTGCTGGAATTGCCAAAAGCTGGGCAAGCACATGATATGCGCGGAATGTGGCTGCCTTCAGGATGTGGATAATAGCACGGCAAGTAATTGCGTCAACTCGCGGAATGCATAGTTAATTGTGCCCACTCCCATTAGAACTACTTTTCGTTGCTGAATTTTCCCGTCAAGTTTTCGCTGCAAACCCCGGAGCTGACGCAGCGCTTCCGGCAGCTGCAGGCGCAAGTGCATCCCGATAAATACAGCAACAAGTGAGTTAACGGATTCCTTATGCTATTGGAACTAACAACTGGCCAACCCATCCGTAGGACTGTGCGCGAGCAAACCAACTCCGCGGACTGGAGCTCGCTGGTCAACAAGGCGTACAAAACGTTGTCGGTGCCATTGGAGCGCGGCCAGTATATGCTGCAGCTGGAGGGCGAGCAGATGCCGCAGGACAATAGCGCGCTAAACGCCACTTTTCTGATGGCCATGATGGAGCGCAATGAGGAGGTGGAGGAGGCGTCTGACAGCGATGCGCTGGACAAGCTAAGTGCACAGTTGAGCCAGGAGCAGGAGGCAAAGGCACAAAAGCTGACGGCACAATTCGAGGCAAACGATTTGGCGGCGATTAAACAAACGCTTGTGGAAATGAAATATTTGCAGAGCATACAGAGCAGCATTAAAAAGAAACAACAACAGCTGATGTCCAGCTGAGCATAAAATATGCAAATCGATTAGTCGATCGTTCAATCGATAGGTACACAACACAGGCGCAAGAAGAAGAAGAAGCAGCAGCAAAGCAAAAGGTGGCCACTGGCCACGGCGGGCCCCAAAACTCAACCAGCTGGCATCACCGGCAAAGACCTTCATATTTTACTTGTTTTTTTTTTTTCTTTTCTAAAACCAACGATCGATTCAAGCGAAAAAATGTAATGTGATTAAAGTTGGCATGTGATTGCACCTGCCGATACGGTTGCTGCTTAATTATTGTTGAAGTAATGACTCGCCGTTGTAAGGTATATGGGCGGTAATGTGAAAAAGCGACCCAACTAGTTTTTGCTAGCCTGCTCGATCAGGGGTACTTTAAGCGCTTGACGTGGGGCATGGCGTTGAGAGAGGCGAACTTAACACATTGGCCAAAAAAACAGATAAAATTCCCCGTATCGTGCACCCTGTACCGTGGGCCAGTGACAAATCGTTGCGCTTGGTGATAATATTATAATCAGCTAACTGTGCGCCCTCCAACGAGTTCACACCCGCACACACACTCGTAATTTTCACTTACACCTGTCGCCACACACACACACACATACTAAGAAACACACACTCGCGCAAGTCATTTGGCAAATATTTCTAGTGCAAATTGAATTTAAATTGAAAACGCTTCTTGTTTCGCAATGTCAGTGCTACTTAGTTCATCGACTGAGCCGCGCGCACAACTGCGAACTAGCCCAAGTAAAATAGCAACAAGAACCTACTGAGAGGATGCACACGCTCTGCCTGTGCCTGTGCCTGCTGCTGATGCTGCCGCTGCTGCTGGTGGCACCTGCCCAGGCCGATGTTAACGGCACAATATCGCCCATCATTGGCGTGCTGGCCCAAGAGGTCTACCAGGATGGTTTGATTTCAAAGCATTTCAATGCGACCAGCTATATTGCCGCCTCGTATGTCAAGTTCGTGGAGGGCGCCGGAGGTCGGGTGGTGCCCATCGGGTAAGTACTGCTATCAGCGGAGACAGGTGCAATAAATCCAGCGTTTTGATAAGGCGTGATTGCGCTTGCCAATGACAAGGCAGTTTTGGCTTTGAATAATTTGTTGCCCATCTTCAAAAACAGAATCGGACACAATCGCAGTTACTACGAGGAGCTGCTGCAGAAGATCAATGGGTATGTTGTAGGCGTGCTGCGTTTGTTAATTAACTCTGTTAATTTGCATGGATTTTCTCAAAAAATAGTCTACTGCTGCCCGGCGGCGCAACCTTTTTCAATGAGACGAATGGCTATGGCGATGCCGGTGAGCATTTGATAGCAATTGCCAGGGAGCTGAACGATAATGGCACCTACTTTCCGGTTTGGGGCACATGTCTTGGCATGGAACTGCTGGTGCTCAAAATGGCCAATGGCACGGAGACGCGCAGCAATTGTCAGGCCATTAACATGGCCCTGCCCCTGGAGATGAAGCAGGGTGAGAGATAGACTATATGGAAATGGAGTAGATATCCGACTTCTACTTCTATTAAGAGACACCACTTTAGATATTCATGTATTTTGCCTTTCATGTATATTTGATAGACTACAATGAAAGCCGCCTGTTTGGCGGCGCCAGCGAGGAGATCATTACGAAGCTGTCTCAGGAGAATGTCACCTATAACTATCATCGCTATTGCTACAAGGAGCAGAGCTTTTCGCTGCCAGCTCTGAATAACTCTTGGCGCATTATGTCCCTAAATCATGATGTGAATGGCATTGAGTTTGTCTCCACCATTGAACATTTGAGCTATCCATTCTATGGCGTACAATTTCATCCAGAGAAAGCGCTCTATGAGTTTGTCAGCAAGGATGTGCCGCACTCTTCGTCGGCCGTGCATAGTGCACAGTATTTTGCGGACTTTTTCATCAACGAGGCGCGTCGGAATACGCATAGCTATGACAATGCCACAGAGCAGGCGCTTTCCCTGATCTATAACTATCAGCCTGAATATACTTCAGTGCTGGGCTCCGGCTATGTGCAGCAATATCTATTTGAGGATCCGGATATAGCGGGCGACGGCGATGATGATGGCCCCTATCCCTACTATCCTTCTCCCAATGACAATGGCAAAAACGGTGTCGCATCGTGGTCTCTCGGTTTTGGACTAGTTGTTGCCTTAGCTTTCAGAGCGTTCGCTGTGATAATGGAGCATAGTTAAGATTAAATGTGTCTAGTTCTTATTTGTGTGCTATACATGCATAAGTATAAAGTGTGTATATAAATGAAGAATATCTTTTTTTTTTGTAATTTATTTTTAACTTTTTGTTTATCAATCTAACATTCGGCGCCACAAGATAAAATTAACTTGAGGCTTAGGGGCTTGCAAACATGTGAATCGAAATGGAAAACTGGTTTGATGAAAGAAGTTTCTCACTTTTTTTTTTGGCCAATTCTTATAGAGATTTATTATATATTATTAAGATATTGACATTTGATTTTCTCGAATGAGCAAATTTTGGTTAATCAAACTTTATCTTTATAAGTAACTTGTCTTTATCAAATTCAAATTCTCCCTTCTACTTGTAGCTTTGTTTTTCCTTTGATCAGTTTAAATGTTAAACTGAAAAAGGTGTCTATTGGTTTTATGCACTGTGGCCCAGAAATCTCTTGTTCTTTTCTGACCAAAACTCTATCAATATATAATCTGAAATATTGCCATTATATTTCTTCATCTTCTTCATATTATTATCGTCATTATTAATCTTAGTCGCAGTACATTTTAAAATTCTTTATTCTATTTTTTTCCCTATTTAAAAAGCCCACCCTAAAAATATGCTTGACATTTTTTTAAATTTCTTTCGTCAAATTCATTGTATTATACCCTGAACCAAAGACAATCTAAACACTAAGATGAGTAACGCCAATACATTTGCATGCGACGCAAAATTTCTAGCCTGGCTTCTTAAACTGGCTTTTACGAATCCGCACGACATGGCAGCCGACTGCTGTTCGTTTTAGACGAACGAATGCCGAAGTCTCGTGAGCAGCGAAATTAGTCACCAGCCTTCAGCAAAGCTGGAGTCGATCGTTTTGATTTTGGTTGTTGTTGGTTCTTATAGAAAATGTTCTAAACTTGTCATTGAATTGTGTGCATCGGCAGAAGTCGGCCAGTCGGCTGTTGTGTTTGCAATTTTAGTTAGCAACCTTCTTTTCGCTCAGGAAGTATTTCTAAAAAAAAGCTTTTGATTCAAACGCCTAATCTTGCTCTTTATAACTCAATGCACGGCCCTCATAGAGCCGAAGCTGAGAGTAAATTCTATTATTAGCCTTTTTTGCTCTCTCATTTGCGTTCTCAATTTTCAAAAACTCAAGCTGCATAGAATCATTTTGCCCTATGGCGTTACTCAAGTTAGTCTTTATATTGTCATTGCCTGAACCCATTGAGGTGTACAGGGTATGATAGTTTGTGTATGATGTTTGTGCACCGTTCCCATAGAAATTAATAATATTAAAAAAATCAATAAATTTCAATTTATTATTTCCGGTTTTTAAGCCGATTTCGCACCCTACAAAAGCTGGAAATACTACATTCAAATATTTCACTTCTTGGAAACCTTTTCTTTGTGTGTGTGTGTGTGTGTGTGTGTGTGTGTGCAGAGAGAGCGTAGAATGCTTGTGTCTTCAGATTGGAGCGAGCTTTTCCGAGTGCACCCGAGTCGGTCTGCTATGGCCTGCTATTGAGTTATTCTAGTTAGATTGCGTGTTGCACACAGTCCAGTTTTTCGCAGCATGTCAGCCGGTGCGGACGATAACACATTGCACTGTGGTCCCTGCGTGGGAGTGCTGTGCATCGATATGGCCACCTCTTTGTCCTTGCTGGCCTGTCCTGGCCGGGACCCAGTCACAGGCTCCGATAAGGCAAAGGCGACTAGGTTATTTGATATATACATACGTTTGGGTATGTTTTGTATCTCTGCTCTGTTTCGTATTATTGCAGCTATCTAGCAGCCTCCTATGCCAAGTGGGTGGAAGCGGCTGGTGCGCGCATCGTTCCCATTTGGTGAGTTAACCGACTATGAATATATGTATGTGCATTTATCACGCACTAAGTTCCAGTTGTGCAATTATCAGCAGCCTCGGTGCCTTTCAGGGCACAAAGACGGACAGACAGGCGAACATAAACGGACAGTATTGTATTGTAGGCACATCTATGACTTCGGCGTAAGGCAAGGCAAATATTCGACGTGCCGAAGATATCTGTGGTTTCTCGTCTAATTCAGAGCTAACAGGGTATCTTCTAGTCAAGTGTTTGAAGAGTTAGAAAACGGGTATACGCTATCTACGTGAACACTTTTCACTTTTCAGCCTATAATTTAATGAAATCATTGATAGATTAGGTCTTATCTACATAAACCTTAGCATATAGAAATTTGGGAAGGAAATCGCTCTAATAAACCTCGTCTTATGAATCATTTTCTTTATCGTTGTCATTCGAAAATAAATTCGAAAGTAAAACTCGTAACATATTATTATAATTTATCACGTAGCCGCATTTAGAAACGATGCATGAAAATGAGAAGTCGATCAACGGGCCAGGGCAGGAAAAGGGAAAGGGGCTGGGGCTGGGGCTGGGGTTGGGCCCAGGGCAAGCGCAGAAACAGGGGCTGGGGCAGGGCGATCATTTGGGGCCGCCGGAAGAGCATACTCCCATAATTGGCGTCATGTGCATGGATATGGCTCAATCGCTGAACGCATATTATGAACCCGGCCATTGGCTCAGTTATTTGCCGGCCTCCTATATCAGGCATCTGGAGGCATCGGGCGCACTGGTCATACCTATTTGGTGAGTGCACGCAAATAACGGGCGGGCAATGTTTATGTTTACCTTGAATTGTATGGCACGAATGGGCGAGGGATGGCGCATGGGGGTGCGGGGCTGTTAAGATTTGCAATGCAGCTGGCATTTTGCCCATCATTTTCTATGCGAACCCAATTGTTGCTGAGAAATTGTTCTTGTACCCATTGAAATGGGTAAAAAGGGTATAATGTTTTTGAGCAACGGTTTGTAACAGATAGACAAAGAGGTCTTCGATCTCTAAAAGTCTATACATATTCTTGATCAGCATCAATAGCCGAGTCAATGTAGTCATGTATCCGCCTGCCGTCTGTCTGTCCGTCTATCCATATGCATGAATGCGACGATCACAAAACTATTAAGAACTAGAGAAATGTTGAATGTAAGTCAGATTCGTGCGCGTGCAGTTCGTTGCCGAGAATCGATCGTTTCCAAGTCACAATTTAAATGCTTATATATTTTTAATATTCTACGAATATTCTATAGCATAATACGATCTACTGCTGAACATTTCATCAAGATCGGCTTATAAATACAGACATACACATGCATACGCATTAATTCCGTTATCTTTCGTTATGGAGCACGGGTATAAGGCGTTGGAAACTATGAGTGGCACTCATTTTTATACCCTTGCAGAGGGTATTATAATTTTGTCGTGAAATGTGTAACGCATAGAAGGAGACATCTCCGACCCCATAAAGTATATATATTCTTGATCAGCATCAACAGCCGAGTCGATAGAGCCATGTCCGTCTGTCTGTTTCTATGCGAACTAGTCTCTCAGTTTTAAAGCTATCTTAATGAAATTTTGCAGAAGTCCCTCTTTCTGTTGCACGCAGCTCATATGTGAAAACCAGCTGGATCGGACCACTATATCATATAGCTGCCATTGGAACGATCGGTCGAAAATTAAGTTTTTGCATGAAAAAACATTTTGTTTTTCAAGATATCTTGACCAAACTCGGCATTTATTAGTTTTACTCTACTCCTCATATATATGCAAAATCCTATTAAGATCGGACCACTATATCATATAGCAGCCATAGGAACGATCGGTCGAAAATTAAGTTTTTGCATGAAAAAACATTTTGTTTTTCAAGATATCTTGACCAAACGCGGTCTTCTTCTTGCCGAAGATAGCCTTTCTTTCTCGTTTTTGTTTTTTTTTTTTTAAATTATTTTTTGTGTTCCTATCGAAAGGTTCACGGCATTTTCTAGTCGTGCACGCCCGCCTAGAGCTCTCTTAATTGTTAAATAATATTTGTATGTTTATTGTCTGGCATTTTTCGATGCACAATTGATGTCTGTGTAGGATTGGCCGTGAACGTGCTTATTATGCGTCAATGCTGGAACTGGTTAATGGTGTGCTGCTGCCCGGTGGCGCTGTCTATCTAGATGATGAGGACAAGCACGTAGAAAAAGATCCAAATTTGACAAATTTGTGTGTGCAGTCTGTTAACTATATTTATGAGCTAGCGCTGGAGCTAAACATGGCCGGAAATAACATACCCGTATGGGGCACTTGTCTCGGCTTTCAGCTGATGCTGAAAAGTGCAGCAAGTGCGGCCGGTGCGCCAATGATGCGCGACAAGTGCGGCAAAATATTTGATGCAAAGCCATTGCAACTGGAGCCGGGCTACGAGGCAGCCCGTCTGTTTCGCCAGCTGTCGCCGGAGCAGGCCAAGCAGCTGGAGAGCGTGCCATTTGCCTGTCATCAGCATAGGTTTTGCATCACGGAGGAGAGTCTTGGCAGCAGCAAGATGGACGCCGATTGGCATGTGCTGGCCACGCGCACTTCGGAGGAGGGCAAACGCTTCATAACGCTCATCGAGCATCGTGTGCATCCCTTCTTTGGCTGTCAATTTCATCCGGAGCGTGCCGCCTACGAGCAGCTCTTTGCTCGCGAGGATGCCTGCCGCGATGCCCACACCAGGGAGGGCATCCAGCTGGCCCAGTACTTTGCCGAGATCTTCGTCGATGCCTGTCGCCGCAATCCGAACAGATTCGACAGCGTGGAGCAGCTGTCGCGCCACTTGATCCACAACTGGCAGCCCGTTTTTAGCGGTCAGTTTAATAAAGCCAATTGGCTGCAGGTCTATCTCTTTCCCAAGGATGTGGACTATGTGCGAGCAGTTGAAAGTTGAGCTACGTTAATCCGATACAGATTGTTTCCGGAAACACGAACGACAATCCTGATAAGACTCTACTGATGCCAACTTGTGATGATGCGAACTCAACTATATTCATAATATATACATAATATATAATTTACATACAATCTATATATCTCACTATATATCTCACTATATATCCCACTATATATCTCACTATATATCTCACTATATATCTATTATCATATATATTTGCCATGGAAACGATCAGACTAAAATGAAATTCTTAGCAAATGCTTTCTTTTATTGTTTAATTTCTATATATACATAGGCCAAAATTTCTCACCCCCATACATATACATCCTATATCCTATATAGACATAGACCGAAATTTTCCACCCTCGTAACTCGGTCAAAACTCAACCGATTTTCATAAAGTTTGGCTTTTTGTCCACGGTTTGGTCTCTAGATCAATGTGGCATCCAAATCTAACAACACGTTTTTTGGTCGAACTTCATGTAAAATATCCTCAAATATTCTTTATAGACATAGGTCGAAACTTCCCAATCCCATAACTCGGTCAAAACTCAACCGATTTTCATGAGGCTTGGCTTTTTCTTCATGGTTTTCCCTCTAAAATAATCTGGCATTTAAATCTGACCACACATTTTTTAGTCGAAATTCATGTCAAAATCTTACCCTGTAGATTCGTATATAGACATGGGTCAAAATTTCCCAGGTACATAACTTGGTCAAAACTCAACCGATTTTCATGAGGCTTGGCTTTTTCTTCATAGTTTTCCCTCTAAAATAATCTGGCATTTAAATCTGATCACACATTTTTTAGTCGAAACTCATGTCAAAATCTTACCCTGTAGATTCGTATATAGACATTGGTCAAAATTTCCCAACCCCATAACTCGGTCAAAAGTCAACCGATTTTCACGAGGCTTGGCTTTTTCTTCATGGTTTTCCCTCTAAAAATAATCTGGCATTTAAATCTGACCACACATTTTTTAGTCGAAATTCATGCCAAAATCTTACCCAGTAGATTCGTATATAGACATGGGTCAAAATTTCCCACCCCCATAACTTGGTCAAAACTCAACCGATTTTCATGAGGCTTGACTTTTTCTTCATGGTTTTCCCTCTAAAATAATCTGGCATTTAAATCTGACCAAGCATTTTTTAGTCGAAATTCATGTCAAAATCTTACCCTGTAGATTCGTATATAGACATGGGTCAAAATTTCCCATTCACATAACTCGGTCAAAACTCAACCGATTTTAATAAGGCTTGGCTTTTTCTTCATAGTTTTCCCTCTAAAATAATCTGGCATTTAAATCTGATCACACATTTTTTAGTCGAAACTCATGTCAAAATCTTACCCTGTAGATTCGTATATAGACATTGGTCAAAATTTCCCAACCCCATAACTCGGTCAAAACTCAACCGATTTTCACGAGGCTTGGCTTTTTCTTCATGGTTTACCCTCTAAAAATAATCTGGCATTTAAATCTGACCACACATTTTTTAGTCGAAATTCATGCCAAAATCTTACCCAGTAGATTCGTATATAGACATGGGTCAAAATTTCCCACCCCCATAACTTGGTCAAAACTCAACCGATTTTCATGAGGCTTGACTTTTTCTTCATGGTTTTCCCTCTAAAATAATCTGGCATTTAAATCTGACCAAGCATTTTTTAGTCGAAATTCATGTCAAAATCTTACCCTGTAGATTCGTATATAGACATTGGTCAAAATTTCCCAACCCCATAACTCGGTCAAAACTCAACCGAATTTCACGAGGCTTGGCTTTTTCTTCGTGGTTTTCCCTCTTAAATAATCTGGCATTTAAATCTGACCACACATTTTTTAGTCGAAATTCATGTCAAAATCTTACCCTGTACATTCGTATATAGACATGGGTCAAAATTTCCCAACCCCATAACTCGGTCAAAACTCAACCGATTTTCACGAGGCTTGGCTTTTTCTTCATGGTTTTCCCTCTAAAATAATCTGGCATTTAAATCTGACCACACATTTTTTGCTCGAAATTCATGTCAAAATCTTACCCTGTACATTCGTATATAGACATGGGTCAAAATTTCCCAACCCCATAACTCGGTCAAAACTCATCCGATTTTCATGAGGCTTGGCTTTTTCTTTATGGTTTTCCCTCTAAAATAATCTGGCATTTAAATCTGATCACACATATTTTAGTCGAAATTCATGTCAAAATCTTACCCAGTAGATTCGTATATAGACATGGGTCAAAATTTCCCACCCCCATAACTTGGTCAAAACTCAACCGATTTTCATGAGGCTTGGCTTTTTCTTTATGGTTTTCCCTCTAAAATAATGTGGCATTTAAATCTGATCACACATTTTTTAGTCGAAATTCATGTCAAAATCTTACCCTGTAGATTCGTATATAGACATGGGTCAAAATTTCCCATTCACATAACTCGGTCAAAACTCAACCGATTTTTATAAGGCTTGGCTTTTTCTTTATAGTTTTCCCTCTAAAATAATCTGGCATTTAAATCTGACCACACATTTTTTGGTCGAAATTCATGTCAAAATCTTACCCAGTAGATTCGTATATAGACATGGGTCAAAATTTCCCGGGTACATAACTCGGTCAAAACTCAACCGATTTTCATGAGGCTTGGCTTTTTCTTCATAGTTTTCCCTCTAAAATAATCTGGCATTTAAATCTGATCACACATTTTTTAGTCGAAACTCATGTCAAAATCTTACCCTGTAGATTCGTATATAGACATTGGTCAAAATTTCCCGGGTACATAACTCGGTCAAAACTCAACCGATTTTCATGAGGCTTGGCTTTTTCTTCATAGTTTTCCCTCTAAAATAATCTGGCATTTAAATCTGACCACACATTTTTTGGTCGAAATTCATGTCAAAATCTTACCCAGTAGATTCGTATATAGACATGGGTCAAAATTTCCCACCCCCATAACTTGGTCAAAACTCAACCGATTTTCATGAGGCTTGACTTTTTCTTCATGGTTTTCCCTCTAAAATAATCTGGCATTTAAATCTGACCAAGCATTTTTTAGTCGAAATTCATGTCAAAATCTTACCCTGTAGATTCGTATATAGACATTGGTCAAAATTTCCCAACCCCATAACTCGGTCAAAACTCAACCGAATTTCACGAGGATTGGCTTTTTCTTCGTGGTTTTCCCTCTTAAATAATCTGGCATTTAAATCTGATCACACATTTTTTAGTCGAAACTCATGTCAAAATCTTACCCTGTAGATTCGTATATAGACATTGGTCAAAATTTCCCAACCCCATAACTCGGTCAAAACTCAACCGATTTTCACGAGGCTTGGCTTTTTCTTCATGGTTTTCCCTCTAAAAATAATCTGGCATTTAAATCTGACCAAGCATTTTTTAGTCGAAATTCATGTCAAAATCTTACCCTGTAGATTCGTATATAGACATTGGTCAAAATTTCCCAACCCCATAACTCGGTCAAAACTCAACCGAATTTCACGAGGCTTGGCTTTTTCTTCGTGGTTTTCCCTCTTAAATAATCTGGCATTTAAATCTGACCACACATTTTTTGGTCGAAATTCATGTCAAAATCTTACCCTGTACATTCGTATATAGACATGGGTCAAAATTTCCCAACCCCATAACTCGGTCAAAACTCAACCGATTTTCACGAGGCTTGGCTTTTTCTTCATGGTTTTCCCTCTAAAATAATCTGGCATTTAAATCTGACCACACATTTTTTAGTCGAAATTCATATCAAAATCTTACCCTGTACATTCGTATATAGACATGGGTCAAAATTTCCCATTCACATAACTCGGTCAAAACTCAACGGATTTTCACGAGGCTTGGCTTTTTCTTCATGGTTTTCCCTCTAAAATAATCTGGCATTTAAATCTCACCACACATATTTTAGTCGAAATTCATGTCAAAATCTTACCCTGTAGATTCGTATATAGACATGGGTCAAAATTTCCCGGGTACATAACTCGGTCAAAACTCAACCGATTTTCATGAGGCTTGACTTTTTCTTCATGGTTTTCCCTCTAAAATAATCTGGCATTTAAATCTGACCACACATTTTTTGGTCGAAATTCATGTCAAAATCTTACCCTGTAGATTCGTATATAGACATGGGTCAGAATTACCCATTCACATAACTCGGTCAAAACTCAACCGATTTTCATAAGGCTTGGCTTTTTCTTCATAGTTTTCCCTCTAAAATAATCTGGCATTTAAATCTGACCACACATTTTTTGGTCGAAATTCATGTCAAAATCTTGCCCTGTAGATTCGTATATAGACATGGGTCAAAATTTCCCATTCACATAACTCGGTCAAAACTCAACCGATTTTCATAATGTTTGGCTTTTTGTTCATGGTTTGGTCTCTAGATCAATGTGGCATCCAAATTTGACAACACTATTTTTTGTCAAAGTTCATATAAAAAGGTTAGGTTAAAGTTCCCCACAACAGGTATCGATCTTTTACCTTATAAACTTTACATTTTGTACCATGATCGGGATGCGGGCAGACAGCTATATTAAATATGCAGTTGTACATTAGTAAACAAATTATTTTAAATAAACAAAATTTAGATATCTTAATTAATTTGCATATTGTATAGTCAGTTTTGACTTTGATTACGATTAGCTAACTATATGCTAGTTAATGTGTTTGAGTTTGGCAAATCGAATAGAAACTGATTCTATGCATGAAAACATACGTTCGAGTACTTTTTCGCTTCTCACATGTAAAATTCGTGTACTTTTCCACTTGGCTCTATTGTGCTCCGGGCGTGGCTGGGAGGCTTGTCACTTGCCCTACTCCCGCCCCGAAATTGCCCATTGCCGCCTTTCCCTATGTACTTGTGTTTCTAATTAGCCCGTTTCTGGTTCGTTCCTGGAGTTCTGCTTTTTTCTTATGCGCATTTGTCTGGCACGTGTTGTGTTGGCCAGCCTTCAGCCGCACCATCACCGCCCGTTACACCTGGTGGGGTTAAGGTTCAAATTGACGGGCAGAATAAAATAATTGTCGCCCGTCTGTGGCAACGTGTTATTGTGTTATTGCGCTGCGCCCCATTGTTCTGGCTGTCCGGCCGATAGTATGAGCATGAGGACGTGAACGAGACGCCATTGTTCGTATTGTCGGACACGTATGTTGCG